TTTGCCATCTTTTGTGCAGAGCTTTATTTGCTTATGAGGCGATTTGAGAGTTTGTTTGAGCGCCGCTTTAGCAATTGCTAGTGATATGTAAAACCCTGTTGTATTTCTCTCCCTCTAATTAGTAGCATCTCCCCCCTCCTTGCCCCCGTGGCGTAGGCCAAATTTGCCGAACCCACGTAAAAATTTGGTTTGTACTGTTTTTGGCTGCTTGTAATAGCTTTTAGGATCCCTCGACAGGCAGTCAGAACTGATGAGCAGGAAAGAGCCGAATTTATCTCACCTCGCATGGTCGGAGCATATCCGCTCAGATTCTTGCTCTCCTTTGGTGAGACCGGAATTCAGCCCACGACTCTCTTGTTTGTGCTGGTCCGACAGTGCCTTACCGAAATTTCCGCTTGCGCCGCAAACAAGTGGCTATCAGAGCCCATCGGTTTCAGATCTAGAGGTTTTTTTTGTGTGGAGGCAAGATTCTTGTGCTGAAGCCTTAGCTTCTCTGCGAGTTCTTGGCTTCGGTGGAGATAGCATTAGGAGTGCCGGGGAGACCGCCCTCGTTGTTGGTTAGGAAATCTATTATGGAATCCGATCTATGTGGTTCAGTTGGGCTTGTTCCTAATTTCTATCAAAATTTGTTCTTTCTCTACAATTTAGGAGTTTAGTTCTTGCCAATGCGTGAGAGAGCAATGGTTGAAAGCAGCCAAGGTCGTATTGGCAGTACAATACAAGCTTGCTGTTTTCAGAACACTATGATTATTTGTGGTGCAAGCTCATATCGCAAAATCACTTTCGGTTTGTGGTATGAGCGACGTACAGGATGCGCTTAATGCTCAGAATTTGCGAAGAGGACCATTCATGATCACACGAGAGGCCCACCTAAATATGCATGAGGCCGGCTATGGGAGAAAATGAATAGCCGAACGCTTTGTGGGCGTGATGCAGGTCCTGTTTGGAACAGGTAGCTGAAACTATAATGTGATGCGGTGACGTCTGCAATGAAGCATGTGCAGGAACATTCTCAACAACAAGTATCTCAACAAAGAGTTGTTGAGAACAGGTTGCACTTGCTGCGCAAGACCTTCTTCAGATCTTCAGATGTCCGAGGCACTCCGCTAGCCGGCTCATCGTGAACAACTACACTAAGTGTCGGACTTGCGCGAAGCAATGTTGATGAGAAGATATCGGTATGAGCTACAAGGCCTGATTATTTTGTGTTGGTGTACCTTACCCGCATAAGGAGTATGATTACATTCCGCTGCTCACTTTGTTGAACGCGGAAGATCCTTCTTATCAGCCTATTAGCTGAAGCTAACTAACGCTTGACAAATTTACGATTTGAGGATCGAAGAAACAAGGAGCACTTCCCGTGCTAGCCCACTTTCAGGCGAGAGCCCTGTCGAACGAAAGCAGAAGCCCATAATCCGAAAGGTGGCTAACAGCCAGGCGAGCGTCCAAAAGTTTTTCTAGGGAGGCGCCACCAATTAACAAAGCAACCAATCGTGCATTTCTTGCAAGGCGATGCAGCGCGACATCTTGCGAAGAGAGCACTGCCCCGCAAGCTCAAGGAGAAAGAGAATGGCAAGAAAAAAGCGGGCCCGAGGCAATTTGAGTGTGAATATTACGAAAGCGCCGCATGCATTCCGAATGATTCGCTGCTTTTCTCTACTGATTACTCGGAGTGCCTGAATTTCATGTGCGATGCCATCAGAATTTGGATGCTGGATTCCCGACGCGCTATTTTTCATGTGACCCCTTAGGCGAGACCTTCGTTTGCATCCTTGAGAAAGTCGACGGGGTCGTTGTTAATCATGGGAAATGCATCAATCCTGTGGCGTTTGTGGGATAGGCTTACCATACGGATTAAGATGCACCGATGGAGTAGTCTGTTGAGTGTCAAGGCACCGGTTTGAGATTTGGCTTCCTCAACTGAAAAAATCTTATCTTCAGTTGCGAGCTTTGGAAGCAAAGGGCATCCCAAGGTGCACTTTCAATAAACGTTGCCTACGCCGAACGGTTACTAACGGCGATCCATTGGTGGTGATGAAGCGGCAAGTCCTGCAATCGGAATTTGTATTATCTGAAAGCAGGCTAAGCCACCGAAGATTTGACGCCAGTGTTGCTTCGCGCTATTTCAGTAAGCGGACATGAGCCAGACTTGGCACTATAGGTTTGGGGCACTCACAGGTGAAAAGTCACTGCAGGCATTTGGCAAGCAGGGGCTAATTGAAGCGGAGCCAAGAGTGGGAAGATTGATTTCTGCTGCAGCACTGCTGCTTCTTAGGCGAGAAGACGAAGGTGCATAGTTCCGGGACTGCCATTCATCAGAACGCAGGGCGCATCCTGCGACAACGCTGCACACAGACGTTTGGGGGCGGTCCTACCAAGCACTGCCATCCTTGGTGGTAGACATTGGCTTTCGCTCACTTTGTAGATTGACTATTCTAGGCGCATTGCTTGCGCGTGTACACCATGACCTAAGAAGAGCTGAGTCCTAGATTTGTTTGTGGAGTGGCACAAAAGAGCATTGCGAACTGCAGACGGGGAGAAAGATACAAGACGTTACGATCCGCGACCAATCTGGTGTGAGTATACCTTACAGACCCCCTTTTTTGCCAGCCTATGTCGAGACGGAGGCCCATAGAGAGGACCACTTTCACGCGTTAGTCATACACCGCCAGCCAAAAGTGGAGGCGGCAGAGTAGATTGGAATCGCCGTCTTTACTGGAGAAGATCCCGTGTTTTATTGTTGCCCAGAGTGGTTCTGGAGAGCATTCTTATTCGGGCCCTGAGGCAACTCTACATCACGGCGACGCCACCTCATTAATAGGCCTGCCTTCATCTGCGCATTGCAGGGACAAAGACCCCTATGGAGAATCGTGCGCTCGCGGAAAGCCTAGCACATGACTATGACCAGCTCAAGCGTATTCGGCGTGCTCCCTGCATAATTATTCATGCTTAGCAACTGAATAAATTGGAACCTCGAAGCCTATGAAGGCCCATTATTTGTAGGACTTCAAGCTGGTGTCAAGGCGATACCAAGCTTTGGGGAATCCAGTTGATAAGCAAGATTGTGCTGAGTAGGGACCGTCAGCTTTGATGAAGCTTACGTAATCTTGAAGCTCACAGCTCTCATCAGGTGAAGAGCCCGACCCGACAGAGGCCAGATATTAAAGGGTGGTGAGATTGCATGCAGCTCCAACATTGTCCAGATGCTACAGTATCCATGCAGGTGCCGACTTAATTGACGCCAGCGCAGCCCACGCCACGGTGATACGCGGGATACGGCGCTACTAATGTGCTAGCGATCCACGGACACCGACGCGCTCAGGTTCAGCGCATTCTATTGCGCGGCTTAGGCGAAGACAGAGGCAGAAATCATACAGATGCCAG